GTAGTAGTAGTGTGTAGTAGAGAGAGAGAGAGAGAGTAGTAGAGTAGGTAGGTAGTGTGTGTGTAGAGTAGTAGTAGTGTGTGTGTGTGTGTGTGTGTGTGTGTGTGTAGTGTGTGTGTGTGTGTGAGTGTGTGTGTGTGTGTGTGTGTGTGTGAGAGAGAGAGAGAGAGAGAGAGAGAGAGAGAGAGAGACTTGCACAGTTTTGAGGGATCCTCCCATTTTTGGAGAAGATTTGATGAAGGGAAGTGCAATGTGGGATGGTTGGTTGATTCAAGAGATGAAGGTGTTCACATTTGCTCATAGGTCGCAGCTGAATTCTCCATTTTTGTCTTCAGGGAAGAAAAGGGAGGAAAACATTTTGGTAATTTGATACGAGGGTTTAGGGGACTTCACATAGAGCTATGGGGCCGATGATTATGATTTTAGGTGGACCTCAATGTTTAGAGAGGGGATAGAGAGTGAAGGGAGAAGAGGATCTGCCCCCCTTTCAAAGAAAGAGAGATGAAAAAAGAGAAGTGAATCTGTCCACCTTTTAGAGAGAGAGAGATGAAAAAGGGGAGTGATCTACACCCCCCTCTATATATATTGGGGGATTGGGGTGGGGTGGGGTGGGGTGGGGTGGGGGGGGGGGGTTTGCATGAAACCAAGTGGATACATGGAAACTTGTCTAGGCCACTGCTTGAGGCAGAGTAACTTGGCTGAGACCGAGTGGACTTGGATGAATTATTGAACACTATCTGAAATGCCTTGGCTGAGACAGAGTGGACTTGGATGAATTATTGAACACTATCTGAAATGCATGTCATTGCACAATCTTAAAAACATAAAGATTAAAAGGTCCTTGGTACTGGAGGAATAATTGGTGCAGGTTAAAACACTGATTTCAAAATTGAGGCGGTGGCTTGGAATCAACCAAGGATTGGGCCTTCCAATTGGTACTCGAGGATCAATTGGTGCAGGTTTTTTTTTTTTTTTTTGGAAGCATCAATTGGTGCAGGTTAAGAAAGTGGTTGCAAAATTGTGGAGAAGGCAAAGTTAACACATTAAAAAAAAAAAAATATTTGTAGAGAAGGTTCGGAATCAACCAAGGATTTCTTAAATAGTGGTTATGAAAGCTCATACGGGTTGGGCGTTTTAACCCTACCCCAAATTGGCCAAGGGCTTCCAACACTATATGGAAGCTACTTAAGCAAGCAGTATTAAAAGAATTGCTTGTTTGATAAACCCACTGAATTACGTATAGAATTACCAGGCCCTTAGCTTCCTGCTTGTATCTATTTTCTAGTGTCGCTTCTTCCCTTTGCCATTCCCTTTCTCAACTACGACATTGAGGCTGTGTAAACAATGTTCGAAAATTTGGCAGCTCAATTGCCTAGGCGAAAAAAATTTCAAAACGCCCTAGGCGCAGTTTGGGCAGGTGCATTAGGCGTTTTTGCTTCTGGGCGCCCGCCTAGGAAGTTTGGGCGACGCCTAGACGCTATTGTCTGGGCACACGCCTAGGCGGCACCCCGCGACAACTTGCGGGCGACGGAAAAAACCCTCGGATGAGGGAAAATTTTTCCCCCCTAAAAAGGGAGGAAAAGGGTGCTAAACGCCCAATAGAAAATCCGTGGCCTTTAGGATGAGAAAAACCCCTCAAGAACTACTATTTTGTGATTTATCGAAAGATGGATAAACTTTCTTTATTTTTTCAATTTCTTCCCAAAACGAAGGCAATAGTTCTTGGGTGGAATTGAAGCTTCTAATAGTTGATTTTAAGAACTTTTGACGACCCAATAAATGAGGTTTGCACCGACTTTGATTTGATTTTGATATTTTTAAAGTACTATCATATTTGAAAGATGGTTTTAATTTTATTATGCTACAACATATTATGTTATGAATCATGAGTTTTTTCTTTTACTTTTTTATTTTATTTTACGGTATATTTACATGTTTGTAGTTAAAAGATTGATTTTTTTCTCACTTGGACGATGAAATTGAGCATATATCGTATTCTTTTACGAGTAATTGATTCGTTTTTTGTACAATGGGTCTTATTTTGATATTTTGTTTTTTTTTTGTTTTTAGTCTATTTGATAAATAATTGATTATGTGATATCTTAATGGGTAAGTCTTATGTGAAAGTGAAACTAAAGTCTTAAAATGTCATATATATTCAGTTATTCATTTAAAAACTCCCTTGTTTTTTATGTTTGGGGTAGGGGTGGTTTTTTATTTTGGTGAAGGCACCCTGTCCTTGGGCGCCCACCTAGGCAACCACGGACCCAAATCGCCTACACGCCCGAATCCATTTTTTGAACAATGTGTGTAAGAAAAGCATCAATAGGTTTCATATGAGGCCTCTTAAACCCAAAAACCTGTTGGGTATAAGGCCTTTCAAGGACTGAATACCAATAGTCTCTCTTATTCAGTGGGAGTGATTGAGAGATAGAATCTGGGTGCTTTACGAAACGGAGCCCAGATTCTTATACCCCGAGTACTTGAGGTTATGAGAGCTTTACGTTTAAGAAAGTAATTTCTCAAGGAAGTATGAGGGTCACCTCCTAGTCAGGATCTTATTCATATTAGCCTCATGATTGTTGTGATTAGTTAGGGTTTTGAGTATCCAATCGAGTACAATAGAATCCGAGTATTTTTATGAGTAATGACCTTATGTGGGAGGTCATGACTTATGGAACATACGTCCGTATCCTGACACCGGACAATTCCATGACATGTGCACTAACGTTCGCATGAGAAACCACTCTTCTAAATCCATTATCCAATTTTGGAAGAGCCAGTGCACATGAGCTTTGAGAGGACCCCTGTACTTGTGTTGGAATATGTCCCACAGAGGTGCACCTGTAATCCTTTGAGAGCCAAATGATGGGAAGCTCTGGCTCAATGACTTTGATGTGACCAATTATGTATCCTTGCCATAGACTGTGGAGCATAAGTCCATTGGGTTAGCTTAAGACACCGGCAGAACATCATTTGGGACTAGCCCAATGGAGTACTCAGATACTTAGAATCCATGCTATGAGATCTCACTTACCCTTTGTCCAATTAATTATGATGAAAAATGATGAATAAATGTTCATAAATATTTATTATTAATTTTGGAGAATTTTTTGAAATTTTTTTGATAGACAAAACTGTATTTTTAATATTTGTTTAGACTTAATTCCATTTGAGGACTGCCACGTAGCACACCCGAGTGGCCATAGGGTGGTCACTTGGCACCCCTGGCCCCACCATAAGATCAATGCCAAGCTAGGCACTAATCCCAAGGTGGGGGACGTAGATGGCATATATTATTTTGTTATATTGTTATATATTATTATTTGACTTGTTATATTATGTTATAACTTAAGGTACATTTTTGTCATATGTTTATTTGATTCATACAAGTGCTTTTGTTGGCATGTTTGAGGTTCATTTTAATTTAATTTAAATATTGAATCCAAAGTAAATTGATATTTGAATTTGAATTTCAAAAAATATCTTCACACTTGTGAAGGAAACATTAAGCTCATTGTGGTTGGTTTGAATTATTAGATATATAAGGTAATTGGCTTTCATAAAGGTGTCCTTTTCTACGTGTGAGTTTTACCATTTACTTTATTGCCCATGGCCCTTGATTGATCTTTACACTATTTGATTATTTAAAACTAATAGATTTTGTATAAGGGCAAGTTGGATTCACTTGGAATAAAAGTATGAACCTAAGGACAAAAGGGTAAAGTGGCCTTACTTAGGGTTTAATGTGAATGATACGGGTGCTAAATCCCATCCCTTCATCCTAGTGGTTAGATGGGGATGGGTGGCTAGGGTATATTGGCCTCTCATGTGCCTTTGGATAGGTACATCAAGGGTGTTGATGATATCCAATCTCACACTATGTATATATACTTCTTTAAGTCCCAAACCCTACCCACTTAGAAAATTGGATCTTGCTTGAATTGAGTAGAGAGAGAAAGAGAGAGAGCAAACCTTGAGACCTCCACATGCCACCCATTTGCCTTTGACGATCTTTGAAGCTTAATGGTGATCCTTCACTCCATAAG